GTAATACATAAAATGGTTGAATCATTACATTGTATACCCAAAACTAATATAATACTGTATGTTAATTATACTTGAATAAAAATTTTAAAATACAATAATGTAATATAAAATTAAAAAGTTTAGATTGGTGACTGTTAAAAAAAAAAAACTAGGCCATTTTAGCAGGGTATTTTGAAGGCATTAAAAAAGAGAGAGATTAAATTAATAATTAATAACCTTCCACAATAGAAAGCATAAGTCCAGTTGGGTTAACTAGTGAATTTTACCAAACATTTAAGGAAGAAATCATACCAATTCCCTATAATCTCTTTCAGAAATTAGAAGTAGAGTGAATACTTCTTGATACATTTTATAAGGCCAACATTACCCTAATACCAAAGACAAAGACATTATAAAAAAAACTATAGATCAATACCTCCCATGAAAAATGATGTAAAAATCCTCAACAAAATATTAGCAAATTAATTCCATTAATGTATAAGAAGTATTATATACCATGAGCAAGTGAGTATCAAGTACGCAAGGATGGTTCAACATTTGAAAATCAATTAATGTAAGCCATCATATATCAACAACTAAAAAAGAAAAATCACATGACCATATCAATAATTGCAGAAAATTATTTAACAAAGTTGAACACCCCATAATGATAAAAGACTATTAGAAAGCTATAGAGGGAAACTTCCTCAAATTGATAAAAGAATATCTTTTTTAAAAACCTGACAGATAAAATTATACCTAATAATAGATTAAAGCTTTTCCATTAAGGTCAGGAAAAAGGCAAGAAAGTCCCTCTTTACAACATCGTATTGACAAGATAAGAAAATAAAAGGTATAAGGACTGGGAAGGAAGAGATAAAACTGGCTTTGTGTTTGACAAAAGAATTACTGTCTCATAAGAACTCCTGCCCCTTTGGTCCCCCTTTATAAAAACAACTAATTTTCAGCATCATCCATGAACAAAAGTACCTCTGCGAGAGTTGTGGAATCAAGCACTACATATCAAGAAGCCTGGGAGGAGTCTTGCCCACTTGTGCATCAGGTAATAGGCAGACAGACCTGAGTATGGGCTATGGAATCAGAAGGAGTCAGTGAAGAGGACTCAGCTCCTCTAATAGGCAGTTGGCAAAAACACAGAGAGTGCAGATGTGGGCAGAAACTGAAGGAAAAGAGAGCCTTACAGAAGTCTTCCCAGGAATAGTTTCCCAAAAATAGATTCCTGCATTCCTTTGAAGCATCACCCTCAAACAAAATAAATAAAATAATAGTTGAGATGCACTGAAGAGGGTAAGAGTATCTGCCAGTGCCATCCCTCCCCCAATGGCACATAGTCCAGGGCCGAACTGGCCAGCAGTGACCTCTTCTACAGAGAAAAGAGAAAGTAGTGAGTAAGCCTTCAGCTGACCCAGCTGTACAGGACACGGCTGGAGAAATCCACTTCTCTCCCACAACACCCAGAGTATTGAGGCAGGAATCTCTGCAGCTGAGGGGCAGGAAGAAATCAGGAAATTGGCAGATAATTCTATCAAAGGGCATTAAAGGGACACAGTTCCTGCAATATGCTTTCATTACTCCAGTAGGAAACCTGCCCACAAGTTGCTGGGAGATCCTCACAAAATATTGCCCCTTACCTGATCCAGGGGCACCCAAAACACCCCAAGTGTTAACCCCACAACTCCCCACACTCTTGTGCTCCTTGTATGTGTTCCTGAGTGTGGCAGCAAAAAGCTCTGGTAGACAAGGAGTACCCTCAGAAAACCAGGCCAGGTTCCTTGAACAAGAGAGAGATCACAAACTTAAGCTGTAGCACATCTTCTGGAAAACAGTTTTCCAGCTGCTGACTTGGTGTGTTAAAAGAAACAATGTCTATATGTCTATACTAGCTTAAGAATTCTGCCACGAGAGGGTGCAAGAAATGTGGAGCAAATATATCCATACAAGGTTGTAAAAAGACCCAGATATAAGTAAGACCAGCAAGTATTATCTCCCACCTGCTGACAACTAGTAAAGATTTAAGAAGCTGACTACTTCAAATGTGAAAAGAGCAATACAAAACTTGAGGAACATGAAGAATCCTGGAAACATGTTGTTACCAAAAGATAACAATAATACTCCAGTAACTGAACTCAAAACATAATTTGGCAATTTAGCTGAAAAAGAATTCAACAAAGCTATTTTGAGGAATTTAGCAAAGGGAAATCATAAAAAATTACAGAGATACAGAATGTAATAAATGACAAGAAAAATGCAATAGAGAGCACCTACAGCAGTCTAAAACAAACAGAAGATAGGACTGTTGATCCAGATTATAGGAACTTTTAAATAATCCCGTTATAGTAGAACAAAGAAAACAGAATGAAAAACAATGAAGAAAATAACACATGATCTAATGGGAAACCGTCAAACATATATATTAGAATAATTGGAGTTCCAGAAGAAAGTGAGGAAAACAGGACAGAAAGTCAATTTAAAGAAAAAATAGGAGAGTTTCAGGGAAGATGGTGGAGTAGGAGAAACCTGAGCTCACTTCATCCCACAGACACACTGAGATAACAGCTACATATATGCAACTAACTCTGAAAATGACCTGAAAACTGGTAGAACAGATGATCCACCATAGAGAGAAGACTACATTAAAAAAGGTAGGAGGAACTTTTTAAATCATCAGGGTTTAACTTGGGAGAGCTAGAGGATGATAGCAAACTGAGTCCTCACCCTTAAAGAGTCAGCATAATAAATAACTTGACCTAAAACACAGCACAGAAGCAATAGTTTGAAAAGTGCCGAGGATATACACGAAGAAGGTTTATTTACTTATCTCAAAATACGTACAGTATCTTCAGTAGATACCTCCAGGAATAAAATTGCTGGTGGGCACAATTTCTCTTCACCTCCCCCAGCTTAGACAGCTGACACTTGTGGGAGTCAGTGCTTTTTCCTTCTATCTAACTAGCACTGCATGGCCTGTCTCCACATTCCCCATCAGACGTGCCCTATCTGACCTGCATGCTGTAGCAAGCATCTCTCCAAAGGAGCTCCTGCCCTGCCTCCCATTGCAAACAACCCCAGCAGGAAGAGTGTCTCTCCAGAGTGACTTCTGCCCTGGGGAAAATGGAGATAACCACACACACCAGTATAGAGCTCCAGCCAGGCCTCTTAGCTGGCTGCACACAGAGGAAGCGCTGCCATTTGGCATGCTTGCAACCATGGCAAAGAAACTAATTGTGGATGTCTAGTTGGCCTACCAGCCCCACCCACTAATAAAAACCTCTCAGTTGGCCACATAAAGAGCAAGCCCCACCATTTGGTGCACCCATAGTTATAGCACGGAGGCTGACTGCAGGCACCTAGTCTGATTGGCAATCCTTTCTACCAGAGAACCTGTGGTGACCTCAGACAGGTCTCTTAACAGCACAGGAACCAAACCCTGCTCAGTGAGCCAACAACAGGCAGAGGAGATCACTGCAGCTTGCTGGGCTGAGGCAAATATGGCTCAGCCACCATAGCAGGGTACGTGCAGTCCACACAGAAGACACACAGAGTGCTGCTTCTGGTGACCAGGGGGCATTGCACTGCAGCGCACCACAAAACCTCTTCTACTCAAAGCTACTACTTTCAAGACCAGGAGATGTAGCTGACCACCCTAATACATAAAAACAAACAGAGTGTTAGACAAAATGAATAGAAGAGGAATATATCCCAAATGAAAGGGTAAGAAAAAAATCATACCAAAAGACCTAAATGAAGGTTTTTTGACCTTTGCTTTTTTTTTTTTTTTAAGATTTTGTTTATTTATTTGAGAGAGAGAGAAAGAGCATGAGCATGGGTGGCAAAGGGAGAGGGAGAAGGAGACTCCCCGCTGAGCAGGGAGCCTGACACAGGCCTCAGTCAGGACCCTGAGATCATGACCTGAGCTGAAGGCAGATGCTTAAATGACTGAGCCACCCAGGCATCCCCAGTTAATTAGTCTTTAGAATTTACCCAAATGAGCTGAAAATTTATTCCCATATTAAAAACTGCACATGAATGTTTATAGCTGCTTTATTTATAACTGAAAATGTGAAACAACCAAGATACCTATCTTCAGTAGGTGAATGAGTAAGTTATGCTAACATCCAAATAATGGAATAGTAACACTAAAAAGAAATGAACTATCAAGCCAGGGAAGGACATGAAGGAACTTTAAATGCATATTATTAAGCTAAGGAACCAGTCTGAAGAGGCTACACACTATAAGATTCCAACTTATATGGCATTCTGGAAAAAGAAAAACTATGGGGACACTTAAATGATTGATAGTTCTCAGGAGTAGGAGGACTGGAGGGGTGAGTAGGCAGAGCATAGAAGATTTTTAGGGCAATGGAAATACTCTATATGATACTATTAATGATGGATACCAGCCATTATACATTTGTCTAAACACGTAGAACAAACAACACCAAGAGCACACCCTACGTAAACTATGGACTTTGACTGATAATGATGTTTTTGTAGGTTTATGATTGTAACAAATGTACCCCACTCTGGTGGAGAACAATGATGGTGAGAGAAGCTGTGTATTGGGGTTAGGAGGTAAATAGGAAATCTGTGTACTTCTCAATTTTGCTATGAACTTAAAACTGCTAAAGAAACAGTATATTTAAAAAGGAAGATAAAACCAATAGTTTTTCCTCACTGCACATATTCAGAGACACACAAATTATGGCATAATTATCTTCCCTTAATGAACAGGTGAATGTATTCATTGAACACCTCTGAAAAGTAGCCGTCTTTAAGAATATATCTATTAAGGTCATTAACAATTTAATTCTATATAATGTTCTCTAAAAGTACCTTTAGTTACAAATTTAGTGACCCAATTTAACTCCACATAAGCGAGACACAACACAGACTCTCAAATAAAAGAAACACGATAAATGTTGAATAACTTAGTTAAATGATGCTATAAAGTGACCAAGATAGATGTGATTTGGGGAAACAAAAATTTTGTGCTTACTTACTCCGTGTCCTCCGCACTTCTGTGCACAAAAGACTGATTGACTTATAACGTCAGTTGCATCTACACATTCGTGATTTACACATATCTAAAAAAAGAAAAAATACAAAAAACCTTTTTCCATGATGCAGGAATCCAACTGTCTTAAGATTACAATCAGTAATTTTATACAGTAAGACCAACCATTCAATGTAATACATTTCAATCTAAGTACTACTTTTACTGTAACCTGTAAATTTTTATATGTTGTTTTCATTTTCATTTAGTTCAAAGTATTTTTCAATTTCTCTTAAAATGTCTCCTTTGGCACATGTGCTATTTAAAAATGTCTGTTTAATCTCCAAGTATTGAGGGGTTTTTCAGATAAGCCTAATATAAAGTATGGACTGGGTGATAATGGTGTGTCAATGTAGGTTCATCAGTTGTAAAAACTGTCCCACTCTGGTAGGGGATTATTGATAATAAGGGAGACTATGTTTGTGTGGGAGCAAGGGAGTATATGGGAATTCTATACCTTCCTCTCAGTTTTGCTGTGAACCTAAATCTTCTCTAAAAATTAGTCTTAAAAAATAATTCAGTGTAGGGAAATAGAAGGTATAAATAAAACAAGACCAACAAAAATCATAACAATATAACCACTTTTTATTATAATACCCTGAAGTCTAACAAAACTATCCCTAAGAGCACAGTTTACATCTTCCAATTTTATTTTTTGTTCCATATATGAAAAGTTTATATTGAAAGAAAACCAATTCAACATAATCAAGGCATTTATTAAGTTTTAATCAAATTTGAGCTATTATTAGAGTCCCCTAATAAACATAATAGAAATCTTTTTTTTAAGATTTTATTTATTTTTTTGACAGAGATCACAAGTAGGCAGAGAGGCAGGCAGAGAGAGAGGGGGAAGCAGGCTCCCCACTGAGCAGAGAGCCAGATGCAGGGCTCCATCCCAGGACCCTGGGATCACGACCTGAGCCGAAGGCAGAGGCTTAACCCACTGAGCCACCCAGGTGCCGCAAAAGGAATCTTTTTAAAAATATGCTATACAGGGGCGCCTGGGTGGCTCAGTGGGTTAAGCCTCTGCCTTCGGCTCAGGTCATGGTCTCAGGGTCCTGGGATCAAGCCCCACATCGGGCTCTCTGCTCAGCAGGGTGCCTGCTTCCCTTCCTCTCTCTCTCTGCCTGCCTCTCTGCCTACTTGTGATCTCTGTCTGTCAAATAACTAAATAAAATCTTTAAAAAATATATATGCTATACATATCTAATATTCTATTATGTAATGTATGAAACATCCAGATATAACCCCTTTGTGTTTAAAGTGTAATAACCAGAGGATTAAGCATATATTCCCAACTCCAATATTTATAAACAATATCAACTTCTATATTGCAGTTCTCTTATATGAATATAATCATACTTTTTCTAAAGAATTTGAGATTTGTTTTGAGATTAAATATGTGAAAATGATTTCCTTTTAAACATTATAGCACAGCACAACTCTCTTCAAAGAAATGGCCTCACAAAACCCTTTCTAAATCCAAACTATACCTTTTAATCCTTTACTGTGTGAGTTAAGTTTTCTCAGTAGTTCTTGGCCATGGTGGTGTGTCTAACAACTCTCTTCCTAATGTGGTCTTTATTGTCTGCTTGCCTCACTTGAAACTGAGATGAAGAGTCCTGTTATATAAGGATGCTACTGACTAAAAGAAATTGCCAAGAATGTTTCATCACATGTGATTAAAAACTACTTCATATAATGTGTTCTCATGCATTATCACTGAGGATTGTCTATGTTATAAAAAGGATTCTATTCTTACTAAATTATCAACTGAATTGTATCAAATCATCTGTTGACCAGGTTTCATTTTTTAGTTGTTTTGGCTCCATGGCCAAAATACATCTACTGAACTCCTTGGTATATACCTCCATTGAGGAGGCATTTATGACTCTGAGGCACGAAGAAGTCAATATTAAGAAGACTACATACTGTATTCACTTCGGCAGCACATACACTAAGAAGACTCTACCTATAGGAAACTTCATTTAAACTATAACACCACCAGAAGAGGCTATTACCATTTACAATTTCACATATTAAATAATTTGTTCAAAATCATCTATTAAGTGGAAACATCAGAATATAGATGCACACCCATCTTAGTCTTTAATGCCTACAGCATATACTATACTACGGTTCCTCATAAGCAAAGATTTGGTCAGGAATTAAATGATATTTTGAAGTGAATTTATGTTATGTCTATGTTTTCTCCAGATTTGGGTTAGCCTCAAAGATAATTAATTATAATAATCAATAATAACAGCCAGTCTATATTTAGCTCTCACCATCTCACCATGGTGCCAGGCATCATACTAAACACTTTACAGTTATTCCATTTTACCTTTGGGATAACCCCATTGAGTAAATGCTATTATTACCCCCACTTTACCTACAGTTGTAGTACCTCAGACTTGTTATATAACTTGCAAAATGTCAAAAAAAATTAGTTTTGAAGATTTGATTCTAAGAAGCCTGAACTAATTATCTACTGGGCTACAAAGGGACATATATTACAAAGTGGGATTTCTTTTTTCTTCTCTAAGGAGAAAAGTGAATTTCCATGCTATGGAATACTTAATATATTCCCAAGATCTCTCCCCTCAACACTTCAGCCCCAAAATACTTGGGAGTTTCCTTGGTCATAATACTGAAATTCTGAAAAAGATCAAACATTCCCATTACCATCTTAATATCTAGAGACAAAATGAAACAAAACTTCTTCTTATCCAAATACTTTAAGCTACATAGTACTAGAAATGAAGTTTGACACTTAAATGACAATATTTATTGAAGAAATGAATAAAACTAGAGTTTTAAAAAACAGATTTTAAATAATTTACCCTTCCTGTATCACAAAAAGAGCCGCTGGAGATTCTCATTGGATCTTGTTTTGATTGAGTCGACAGGTAGTCTAGGGTTACACATAACTTATTTTCAACAAAAGCATAAATCACAGCACCACTTTCTTTGAAAAAAGGAATTCGAGTAGGATAAGTACAAACCAATCTTCCACACTGAAGATTCCTGTAAACATAATAAATTATATGATTATTACACATTAGACATCTATTAAGAATGCTTCAGATTTGCTTCCTTTGACCAAAAAAAAGACGATTCTCTATTTATATCAAATGTTACTAGAGAAAATGTAATATTTTAACACTAACATTTAAAATAAATATTCTTATAAGCTTGTAAGCTTATCTTTCAATGGCATTAGTGGTCCTTTATTCCCTGTGCAGATGTATATATTTATTTTCAAATAATCAATTCACTCATATTTCATATCCCTCTGTAGAGGGATTGAAAGATAAATAAGTTGTGACTCCTACCCTCAAGGACCTTAGAGTTTGATACTAAATGTATTATAAATCCCATTAAAGGTGCTATGAACAAAATAAAATAAAATAATTCTTACCAAGATTTAAGATGAGGACACATTCTAACTTAGGAATTAGGGAAAACTTCATGGAAAAGATACCATCTGAGTCAAAGCTTAATAATTAGTAGAATTTCAATAGGCAGAGAATAAGGTATTACTAAACAAAGTAACAGCACAACAAACCAAGGAAACAACTACATGGCATGTTTACCAGTGTACAAATGCCATAAGTACAAGGGCCATGTATGCTTTGCTAACAAATAGCTAGCCCAGCGACTAGCATATAGATGTTTAATAAATGTTTGTTAGAATAAATTCATGACCAAAATATCAAAGAACTTGGTCTTCAGATGCAGAAGAAATTTAATTTCATTTTATAGACACCAAGCAGTCTTCAGCTTGAGCATGCAATGAAGTGAATGGAGATAATATTTTTATAAGGAAAAATGAGAAGATTCAAATAGGAAGGTCATAATGGATATTATTATGTTCAATCTTGGATTGAATTAAGAAGCCAAATGATCACCCACATACAAATGTATAAAAATTAGACAGAAATTTAAGCCTGTAGCATAAGAAAGATGTCAGGGCTACAGAATCTGATTTAAGATTCACTCCCATACATATGTGTGATACTTGAAACCACTGGAATGAATGACATATATAGAAAAAACTGAAAATAGAACATAAGAACATAAGAAAAGTATCTTTAGTATTTGCATAGCATACCTCAATTCACAGAACTGATATTCACCTCTTTTTCTACCACAGTTCCCAAACCTATCAGCTTGAGAGTGTATTTCTTCATAGCAGGCAAATGGTGCATTTTCTGAACCTGCCAACATTAGAAATATATTTGGGTTAAAATTCCCTTCTTTTTTTTTTAATCTTAGTCCATTCCCTCATATATTATATGTTTGCTTTGCCTTCTGTACTCAGAAACTTCTCAGAAGTTTTCCTAGTAAGATTATAAGGAAAGAGAATTAAAGTGATAAGCAGTGCTCATGGTTATAACTCCTTTTGTTTCATTTTCAGTCATTTCCATCACAAAAGATATCATTAAGGGTAAGGACAATTATAGAAGCATAAGCCATGAGAGTGGTCTCTGAAACAAGGCTATAGAGAGTTAATACAAGAAAACTATACTTGCTTTCCTATGTTATGAATACGAACTCATAAAAAGCCAGGTCTATAATAAAATCTCACTAAATAAACCTAACTGTATCTTCAGGAAGTCTAAAATGAAGGGAACAAAACTGCCAAATAATTAACAATTTTTTACTTCATTACTATACTTGGTTTTCATCACTGTGTAAACAATTATCAAAATCTTGGGAACTTAAAACAACATCCACTTATAATATCACACACATGAGTTCTCTTTTTGCTCAAGAGTATCATAAGGCTAAATAAAATTATTGGCTGAGGCTGCAGTCTCATCAGAGGCTGAAGTCCTCTTCTGAGTTCATTGGTTGTTAGTAGAATTCAAGTGTTTTAAATAACCTTACCTTCCTTTTCTTACTATCTGCCAGAGATTGCTCTTGGCTTCTAGGAACTCTCCTCACATCCTAATCACATTGCCCTCTCACACGTGGCAGTTTATTCCTTCCAAGCCAACAAGAGAATCTCTTTGACATCTCCCATCCTTTAAAGGGCTCACATGATTAGGTCATGCACACTCAGAATGATCTCCCTTTCGATTAACTCAAAGCTAATGATGGACCTTAATTTCATCTTGAAAATTCCTTTATCTTTACTATATACTATAATCACAGGAATGACATTCCATCACATATTCACTGGTTCTGCTCCAACTCAATGGGAGGGGATTATCTAAGGCCTGTACACTAGGAGAATCCTGAATTTGCATGGGACTACAAAAGACCTCAAATAGCCAAAACAGTCTTGAAAAAGAAAAGCAAAGCAGGAGGCATCACAATTCTGGACTTCAAGTCATATTACAAAGTTGTAGTGATCAAAATAGTATGGTACTGGCACAAAAACAGATACATAGATCAATGGAACAGAATAGAACACCCAGAAATGAACCCCCATCTATATGGTCAATTAATCTTTGACAAACCAAGAAAGAATATCCATAGGAAAAAGACAGTCTCTTTAATAAGTGATGCTAGGAAAACTGGATAGTAACATGGAAAGAATGAAACTAGACCACTTTCTTACACCCTACACAAAAATAAATTCGAAACGGATGAAAGATCTAAAGGTGAGACATGAACCATGAAAATTCTAGGGGGGATAATACAGTCAGTAACCTCTTTGACATCAACTGTAGCAATTTCATTCTAGATATATCCCCTCAAGGAAGGGAAACAAAGGCAAAAATAAACTATTGTGGCTACATCAAAATAAAAAGTTTCTGCACAGTGAAGGAAACAATCAATAAAACTAAAAGACAATCTATGGAATGGGAGAAGATATTTGCAAATGGCATATGTGATAAAGGGGCAGTATCCAAAACAGATAAAGAACTTAACACACTCAACACCCAAAATAATCCAATTAAAATGGGCAGAAGACATGAAGAGCCATTTTTCCAAAGACATACAGATGGTCAATGGACACATGAAAAGATGCTCAATATCACTCATCATCAGCGAAATACAAATCAAAACTAAAATAGAGTATCACCTCTCACCTGTAAGAATAGCTAAAATTAATAACACAGAAAATAGCAAATGTTGACAAGAATGTAGAGAAAGGGGAACCCTCTTGCTCTTTTGGTGGTAATGTAAATTGGTACAGCCATTCTGGAAAACAGTATGGAGGTTCCTTAAAAGGTTAAAAGAGAACAATTCTAAGATCCAGCAATTACACTACTAGGTATCTACCCAAAAGCTACACAAATACCCATTCAAAGGGACACATGAACCCTGATGTTTATAATAGCTAAATTATGGAAGGAGCTCAAATGTCCACTGACTGATGAATGAATAAAGAAAATGAGGTGTACATACACAATGGAATATTTCTCAGCCACAAAAAAAGAATGAGATCTTGGGATACCTCTGTGGCTCAATAGTTCAGTATCTACCTTCAGCTCAAGTTCTGGGATTAAGCTCCATAACAGGCTCCCTACCCTGCAGGAAGCCTGCTTCTCCCTCCCCAACTCCTCCTGCTTCTGTTTCCTCTCTCTGTCTCTCTGTCAAATAAAATCTTAAAAAAAAAAAAAAAAAAAGGATTCAAGTTCTGAAATACAGTTTCTACTAAATGAATAAATTGCTTTTGCACCATCATAAATCTGAAAAATTGTTAAGTTGAACCATTGTAAGTTGGGGACTGTCTGTAGTCTGTGATTAAATACAATTCTTATATCATCTCTCCAAATGGGACTGAATTATCCAATTTCTGATTTTTCTTGAACAATATCTTGGTGTTTAACAAGTCCTGAATTGGCATTCCTTACCTGGTATCTCCATTTACAAGTGAACCGATTAAACATTGTGAATACTTAGAAATAACATCACGTTTCCTAATGATATCTACACAGTCACCTTTGATGGACCAATGTTTTAAAATGGTGAAAAGAGAATTAAGAAATGGTAAAGAAAGAAAAAGAATGTTGGGGGGAATGTAATTAATGAAAGCAGGTAAACAAGAGAAACCCAAACCCCTTGATCATAAAAGAAAACAGAGAAGGATTAGATGGGAATTCACAGTGGCTAAATAAACATCATCTTAATTCTCGTAACAATCCATTGAAGTAGATATTATTTATTTTTATAGATGAGGTAGCTGTGTTTATTAGCAAGTTTAATTTTAGAGAAGGTAACTGTGCTAGGCAGAATTCTTTTTTAAAGTTTTTATTTAAATTTCATTTAGTTAACATACAGTGTAATATTAGCTTCAGGTGTACAATATAGTGATTTAAAACTTCCATACAACACCTAGTGCTCATCACAAGTGCATTCCTTAATCCCCAACACCTATTTAACTCATATTTCCACCCACCTCCCTTCTGGTAACCATCAGTTTGTCCTCTATAGGTAAGGATCCATTTCTTGGTTTGCTTCTTTCTCTTTTTCCCCCTTTGCTCATTAATCTTTTCCTGGTCTAAGTGGTAGGATACTCACTTGTGATGCTGGGCAGCAGCAGCAAGTCACCCACACAATTGTAAGTGTAAACAACCAATACAATTACAACCATTTTGTACACATATAAGAATTCTATTTTTATAGTATTCAAAAATTATATGAGATATTCAACACTTTATTACAAAATGGGCTTTGTGTTAGGTGACTTTTCCCTATTATAGGCTCATGAAATGTTCTTTCTGAGGACCTCCAAGAGAAGGCAGGCTAAACTATGATATTGAGTAGGTTAAGTGTATTAAATCCTTGGTTTATCAAGATATAACCCCATCATAATTTGAGAAAGATCTGTAGTCAGATGAATTCTGTTGAAAGTGGGTGTTCTTCATCTAGCCTATTTTTTTATTAGTCCATCTATTGCATCTAAAGTTATCAATGAACTTTATTATTAATTTCTCTCTTAAACACCCTCTTTCATTAGTGTTAGGAACTTTCTCTAAGATCAGTGTGGGTTTTCTAGGGTGAGATGGAAACACCAACAGGGCAACACAACACTTTGCAAATGTGAAGTCGCATGTCAAAATGTTCCCTTGTATTCAGTATACTGACCAAATCTACTAAGAGAATCTGTCCTTCCATAGTCCAAATAGTATATTTAGGTTCCCTGTATTCTATTACCAAACGCCATGAAGTACAATTAAATAGTGAATTCACTGGCATAGATACTTGTGCATGGCTGCTACTAGGGCAGTAAATGTGAATTTGGGATAATTATTGCAAATAATGTAGGTAATCCTCATAAATACCATTGGGCATTAGGAAGTTTGAGGTTATACTACTTGACAACTGTTAGAGACTACTAGCTTATGTTTCCAGTTGGATGGCTGCCTATCTCAACTAGAATAAACAGAGCCACTGAAATGTTAGCTAAAATTTTAGCTTTCATAATCTGATATCTAACTCAACTTCATCTTGTGACTAACAGGCATCCACAGTTTAACATTCCTAAAATCAAATTCTGATTTACCCCTAGATTTCCTCATTTCAGTTTTTAGGACCATTAGTCAACCAGATGTTCAGGCCAAAGCAGAAATCATCCTTGATTTTCTTTTCTCCTCACTACCTGCGCTTCTACCACCAAATCTAAGTCTTATTGACACTATTTGCTAAATACAGCCAGAGTATGATCACGTCTCACCTACTCAATGGCCCCAAGTCTAGCCTGAGTGATCATCAATTTCTCTTCTAATATTCTATAAAAGCCTCCTAATTGACTCCCTACCTCCCTTCTCCACTGTAGTACATTCTGCATACCATAAATCAGTCATATTTTTAACAAATAAAAAATAAAAATCATGTATCAGTCTCTGACTTAAGTATCTCAAATGGCTTCCTATTCACACCAAGGATAAAATCTAGTTTTCTTACCATAATCTTTACTCAGCTTGGTTCATAACAATTCAGCAACACTGTCCTCCTTTTGGTGTTTACTGCCTGAACCCTTCACTGGACTATAACTTCCTTAACAATAGAAATCTTTTTTTTTTGTCTTGTCCATCATTGGTTTTCTAGTGCTAGAAGAGTAGTGCCATGCCCAATTAAGGTAATAGATAAACATTTATTGAGTGAATGAAAAAAATCAACACCTTGGGTAACTATACCCCATAATCTTTCTTCCTTATGAGTTTGACATCCAAAACCAAGACCTCCGACATGAATTATACCTATCCTATTTGAGGCAAAAGAGATTTTTAGAGATTGATATTTGAAACAAACTTCTTAG